ATGAAATGTTACCAGACACCTTTTATGGTAGTGGTCTGATCGAGTGGGCTTGCAGTGATTAGTATTTACAATGAAGTTTGCCATCAGATCTCTTACAGTCATTATAATCAGTGACTTTGCAAGCAGAAACGCCAGGAAGTAAAGGAGTGGGGCCTTGTGGGAGAACAGTGTAACATTACATAGTAATATTGGTAGTTTCTGTTTAAAAATGTATTTTTTAGATTTAGTTAAATGAAGCTTCGGCAAAAATTCAAGCCAATCATCTTTCAAGATCCCCTTCATTTAGCTTCTGGCCAAGCTTCCCTATTGCAAGCCTGTGAACTTTCCCCCACCCTTGCCCAAACTCCTCCCTCATTCTCAGACTATTCACAATCCCATTCTTCCTTTAGCTAACTCAATCCAATTTAATTCAGTTTATTTCTATAGCGCACAGCCAGCTACCATGTCAGAGGATGAAAGAGAGCACATACAGTTAGTCCCAGTAAGAACGACAGGAGTACTCTGACAAACAGACCAAGCTCCAAAGTCTATAAACAAAGGTGTTGATGGTAGCAGCACAACTGATATTTCTCTCCAGCATGGTGTCACATCAAAACAGGAACAGCCCAGATGAAGTTACTGTGGTGATAAAAAGCAGAGAGAGCATAAGTTTAGAGGACGAACTAACAAATACTGTAGAATGGGAGAATAGAGATAGAATGAAGCTGTATGATGAAAGTGGTCCCTATGTCCTCAAGCTGTCTAAGCCTATAGCAGCATAACTATAGAGATATCTCAGGATAACCTGAACCACTCTAACTATAAGCTTTATCAAAAAGGAAAGTTTTAAGCCTAGCCTTAAAAGTAGACATGGTGTCTGCCTCACAGACTAAAACTGGTAGTTGGTTCCACAGGAGAGGAGGCTGATAACTGAAAATTCAGCCTCCTATCATTATTTTAGAAATTCTAGGAACCACTAGTAAACCTGCATGTTAATAGTAAAGTGCTCTATTAGGAAGGTACAATCATGTCAGGGTATGGAGAGGTTTGTAGCTGGACATAAAATGCAGATGCGATGCATGGTGGGTTTCTTCTAGATGTAATGATGGAGGCAGTAGTAGTATAAATCCAAAATAATCAGGTCATGAACACAGGAACTATAACAGTGTACACAGGAGGTGACTGACAGGAACTGATGTGGACATGAAATAAAGACGATGATCCAGCAAAGACAAATTGCAGAGGAGGGGTAAATATACACTGCAGAGGAGACTAACAGGAAAAAAGGTTGGAGTAATGATCTGAGTGGGAACAGCTGTGCAGAGAAAGAACAAGAAAACCAATGGAAAGAAAGGTGACACTAGGGAGCAATGAAGAGTAAATGTGAAATATAACCTAACTGTAAACGGTGAATGGCAAAATAAAGATAGAGCAAAGACTAAGAAATGGTGAATAGGAGATAATCTGTGCAGTCAGTTCATCCAGATTATCATCCTGCCTTCAAATATTATTTCTATGTCTGAGCCGCTCAGACGCCCGTACACCATTCAACAGCAGCCTCTGGCCCGGTCGTCTCTTCGCGGTTCGGTGCGGCGGCTGGAAGGCGGTTTTCATGTACGTAATCCAAACTGCAGGCACCAGAATAATAAAATTGAACATGTTTTGCCAGCAAATTTCGGCATTTTAAGCTAATTTAGGCGTTAATAAACTGTTTCAGAGGAGTGGTCATAGTGATCTGCATCAGCAGCAATGTATCTCTCTCTCTCCCAGCTCCCTGATCAGCTTCTCTGATTGGATGATGTGGCACATCGAGCAGCAAAAGTAAAATTTTTCCAACTCCAGCAGCAGCTGCGTTTGCAGCACGTCACACGCGTCAGATGCTCAGAAGCTCACAACGCGCTGCTTCTGGAGTTGATGCTTTGCTGCGCCTTGATGCGCGTCAACCATTGACTATTTAAACTAGCTGCTCCTGCTGCCTCTGCTGCTTTAGGTATGAAAGTAGAATAACTTTGGAGCATGAGATAAATGTATCATTAACATGAAAAAACTGATATCTGTCAGATAACTAAGATATATATATATTTTTTTCTTCCACTACAGGTTCATTTTCCAGTTTTCTCTTGCAGTTGTTGCCAAAAAGTATAAAACACATTATACTTCAATAGTAAATAAATGTTATAGTTTATTGGATTACTTTCAGTAACACTACATGATGCACACAAATAGAAGACTGTAAATTGCACTGCCAGAGCAGCCTTGTATGTCTGATTGTTGGACTGTTTATTGCAGCACTAGATAGTGACAGAAAAAGAGGGCCCCAAAATTAGATTTTGCTAAGGGCCCAGTGGAGGCTTTGGCCGGCCCTGTTCCTTTCAACAATGAAATCTGCCATGTGTTGGGGTATAAATAAGGTGCGGTCATTTGACCTAGAATCAGGTGGGTTTAGGAGGAATTTTTAACACCATTACATTTGCAAAGAGACGTCCTAGTCCACAATTGCATAAGGGGCCAACCAGGTGTCAGTGACAGGGCCCCTAAGAGGTCAGGGGCCCCAACAGCAGTTCAGCATTGGACAGAGTATGCTTATTATGTAATATGGTTCAGCTACATAAAACGTGAGTTTTATTAACTGTATCATAAAACTTAATTGTGTACTTTAATTGCTCTGGGCATATCCCTCATGAACAGACAGGGAAATCCAGTTCTTCCGCTTGTGGGTGTGCTGATGCGGTCATGTGTGCATGTATGTGTGTACGCGTGTGTTGGTGGTAAAGGAGTGTGTTCACTGAAGGAAGCGAGGCCCGCAGTGCTGAGCTTGCTCTCACTGCCACACGTGGACATGGGAACATTTTGTACCGACATTCCGCACGTGTCGTCTCATTCTCTCCGTACTAAACCACGCGCGTGCGCCCCTACACACTCCAAAAAAAAAAAAGAAAAGAAAAAAACAACCTTATCTCTGCCACGACCGTGTCAACATGACGGTGTGACCCAGAAGTACGGCGCAATCCTGAACTCTTGCACTTTTGAAAGAGAACATAGTGGGGGAGTAAGGGAGAGAGGGAGGTGGGGGACTGCGGCAGCCGCAGAGGCACCTCCTCTTCCACTGAAATGTTTACAACCTCGCTGTAGGAGGATCAGGAGGTTCAACCGGATTTTATTTCTTGGAAATTTAGGGGTTCTGCCACTGAATCCAGAAAAAGAAGGGTGGGTGGGAGTATATGAATGATTCTGGGACAGCACAAGTTTTAGATGCACAAAAAGGGAACTTTGTGTCTCTGCAGTTCTCTTCAAATCCCTTTACTTGTACATTTTGTTCCTGCAGTACACGACTTATCCAAAAAAAGGAAGTGGTTCTTTTGAGTAAAATAAAACTAAAATGTGAATGTTTTTATTGATTGTAAATGTTATAATCAGAAAAAAAATAGACAAACTCTTACATTAATTGAATGTCTTCATCTCGTTTTGTAATGTTTCCAAGCATTGCTCAATCTCTGCACCCTGAAAACAAAAATATTTTCTTAGAACTTGGCTGTGTTAAACACCCACTGCAATGGACACCCCTTTTTTAAAGTGAAGGATTGGGAAATAGTGCTATTATTTCACGTTGGAGATACATGATGGGATTTTTTTTTTTTTTTTTTTGTTGGGAAGATCAGAGAATTGAAAAATAAAAGGTTTCTCATTATAGTGATTTAAAAAAAAAATCATAATCCTGGTGAGAACCAACATCTCCAAAGTAGTATAATTATTTCTTTCTAAACAAATTCAAGTCATTTTACTTGTAGTCAGAAATAGATTTTTTTCCCAGTTGTGCAGTAAGAAGACTTCATTACAATGTTTATGTTTCTCTTTTTATACTTTGCTTAATGAGTTTGCATCTGCAGTCAAGAGTTCAAGTGTGGCTTCAGGGACAACAGGGCAGGGGGTGTGTCACTGAGAGTGGAACAGCAGCTATTTTTGCCTAACGCCTAACAAACATTGCACATATGTCTGCCATGATATATATGTAGTCACCCAATGAAACTTTCACACCAACTTGTAAACAAACTGCCCGTCTTACTGATAATTATAATAAGTAGTCCAATTAACTGTTTTAATAAAAACAGGAGTGGGTCTTGTGTGCTTCATTTAAAACCCAGTTACACATAACCAATGTTCTCATTTCTACACCTAATCAATTTATACACTTCATAAAATGTGGTAACAGTGCCACTATGGTAATTAATTGGCACTTAGAAAATGTTGATGTCACCTGCACTATTTATAGGGTAAATATTGAGTAATGCAGAGAGCAGATATAGGCACAACTAAGTAAAGACAATGACTGATCATGTAGGCTACATGAACTAAAAGTGATTCAATTGTTAGGGAGGCAACATGCAGCAGTTCTGCTAAAAAAGGCTGCACTGTCCTGGTCATATTATATTTTTAGATTCATGTGCATAAAAATATTGTCATTTTCTATAGATTCACCCAATTTGTAGTTTTAATAATTTTACCCTGAGTATAAAACATAAAGCTCACTCACACCACAAACCTTATTCACACATATGTTTGTATATAAAGGTATCTATTTTTTTTTTTATGTTGCTTTTATTACAAAAAAAACAGTAATGGTGTAAATCAACCTGGAGCTGATGAAAATGCGCATTTTTTTTATTATTTGTTTAAGGGAGAAATGTCAATAAGTTTTAGCATATAGTATTAAATCCCTTTATTTCATTATCCCTTATTTTGTTTTATTGAAAAAACATTATTTCGGTATTATAGCAAAGTAAATACAATGTATTTACTCTAGTTTCAAGCTAAATTTAAACGCAAAAAAAAAAAAAAAAAAAAAAAAAAAACATATTTCCCAGCTATTTTTTTAAACACAAACGCAACATTAGGTCTGCCCTTAGCTAGAAGCCCTGCCTGTGATTGGTCACTTTCTCCGTCACTCAGACCGGAAAAAGGGCATGCGAGCCATGGTCGCTATCAGCCAATCGCAGCGCAGGTCTATTATGACACAGCGGTATTCCGCGAAATTGTTTCTTGGAGTTGAGAGAACTGGCTGTTGCTCGCTGTAAAATAGGACAAGTGGGCGCAGAAGTGGAGGCACACAGAACGGCAGGACAGGCGTCTGGCACATAAAGGCGAAAAGAACAAATAAGGAAAAAAAGGAGGAAGAACAGAGGAGCGCAACTGTTCTCTCTCCTGAGTCAGTGTTTATTTATCCGCCCAGCATCCCCTGGAAGAAACACTCTCTAAGGACGACACGTGTGGATCATTAGCCAAGGAGGACTGCGGTCTATATAATATTTTCTCCCCTATTTTTTTTCTATAGATATATATTTATATATATATACTCTGCAGCAACTTTGCACAGACTCTCTTCACTCCACCCAGATCCGCTCCAGTGATGTCGGAGGTTGATGCCGTGGACTGCGTCCCTACGCGTCCTCTGGAGAGAACAGAGGACGCCTTAAAAGATAACCAGGAAAATGGCACTTTACTAATGGTCGCGATGATATTATTGGACTTAAAGAAATGTGGTCCGACCCCTGTCTGCGGCGGAGGGAGCAGCGAGGCGGGAAGGCAGGAGAAAGAGAAGGAGGAGCGGGGGAGCAGCCGGGGGTGCCAAGCTGTCAAGGCGCCGCGGAACAAGGCGCCCGGCAGAACTGAGACCCCCGAGAAGAGGCACGGCTGCCCCTTTGCTGGCTGTGGGAAAATGTACGGAAAGTCGTCCCACCTCAAAGCCCACCTCAGGGTCCACACCGGTGAGCGACACGCCTACAAAAAAGGCTCGCTTCTGTAGACGCCCTGCGTCACTTCACTTTTACGCGCATGGGTTTCATCCACTCATTAAAAAAAGTCCCAGATTGTTATTTTCTATATCTGCCTTTGTGTGACATGTGAACTGTAGGAGCATATGGTACCGCAGGTTATATGACAGGTGGTTCGATGCGTTCAGGGTCAGATCATGCCTGCCACTGGCTGAGCAGGCTGGAAAGAGGCGTGCGTTAGATAAAGATGTCTTAATATGTTGTTGACACGCGCCTTCCTGTGAGAACATCGCGTTCTTCTCTTCGCTCCGCGTTTTGGGGGCGCAATAAATCGCACAGAAAGCAAGTTAACTCAAATCATTCTTCATTTGGGGGGGAATAGTTAAATTCCTAACTGTTAAAGTGGTCCTTATGTTATATTAGGCCAACACGCTGATCAATCCGACCCAGTTGTCACTGTATGTTCTTTGCTGGAGGTAACCGCCCCCCTCCCGCCCCCTGCACCACCGCTATCTCATCCATCATCCATCATCTCCGGCTCCACACCCCTCCGTCCGGTTGTAAACAAGAGCAGACATGTGGTTTGAGTCGAGCACGTGGAGGAAAAAGTGGGGTGTTGCCTTATGTGGTTTTATTGTCATCTAAATAGACAAGCTCTACATCTAGTAAAAGATGGTTACCATTCTCAAGAAAAAAAAACCCTTTTTTAACGTAGCTGCAGTGTTTAAAGGGGTCATAGAATGATTATATAGGGCAGGGGTCTTCAATGTTTTCCAGGTTAAGGATCCCCAAACTGATGTCGAGATTGAGTGGGAACCCCCTAATTATATATATTGTATGAAATTGTGTTATATCAAACTGGTCATATAGTCACTCTTATTACAAAAGTAATTTCACCCTTGGATCATTAAAGTATTTCTGATTCAGATTCCTGGTTGATGGGTCAGGTGTTGTGAATGAAATGGTGCCCAGCTTGAAAGATCTCCTGTGTGTTGCTGAATATGTGCATTGATGACTGAAAGACATCTTCTGCCTCCATTTATCTGTTTGCTGCAGATAAATTGAATTCATGTTAATGTGGATTTAAAGACATTTCAATTAGTGGGAAAAAAATAGCAGGGAAGGGGATATAAAAAAAAGTCTAATCAACCAAAACTTTCGTGACCCCCACGCAGTACCTCTGTGGACCCCCAAGGGGTAGCGGACCGCTGTTGAAGACCTCCGATATAGGTTATTTGCTGCTGGTCCTTAAGGTCTCTGAATAGGGTGTGTAATATTGGTTGGGCTGAAAATGGCATATTTGCTGCTCTTTTAGCCCTAATGCAAGCCTGGTTATAAGCTTTAGAATGAAATGACAGGTTTTCTTCCTTTTATGGTATGCTCATGAATATTTAGATGAGCTGTGCGCTGATTGGTTGGTTTACAATGAGTGAAGCTGCTGAGCAAAGATGCATCATAGCAACCAGTACTCACTCACTGAGTGTTGATATGGTAGTGTGACCAGACGTCCTTATTTTCCCGGACATGTCCTGCTTTTCATACCTGGAAAATTGTCTGGGGGGGGATTTCAAAATGGATTTTGGTAGAGTACAGTGCAACAGAACTGAGCTGTCAGCTCTGGGGGTGGTCCGGGAACCCCGGCGGACAGGGGCAGGGACCCAGCCGGGGACAGAGCAACCAAATCCGACCCGGTGAGGGTAGTCTGGACACCGGCGCCCCCACCCCCTTTCTTTTCCCCTTTCTCCATGCAGCTAGGAACACTGCATTTATGCCCATGGTTCTGGCTCATTTTCAATAGAGAAACTGCCTGCTTTTTAATTCTGGTATAAGTAAACCCAACTGTAGGCTAAACAGCTAAACTAGTGTCTTACATCAACCTCTATTCATGCTCTCGGGCCGTGAACCAGTGGGCTGATCTGTATGTCAATTTCGGGGCGTGACAAAAGTACAGGCCAGAACCAAATAAGGCAACATCCCCAAATTTACGTCCATTCGGGGCTTTGCTTGGATTCACCCGTTTTATGGTGGAAGTTTAAAATAGTGAGATTTGCAGTGAAAGGAGGCGTTGATGGGGTTTGAACTTCTCTGTACGTCCATTTCACCCACTGAACTATCATTATTCATCTATGACAATGTAAACTCGGTTTTGCATTCTATGATTCCTTTAAGTCTTGTGCAGTTCTAAATAGGGGGCCAACAGGGTCAAGGGGCTAGAGCTGGAGCAGGGGTTCTGTCAGATCAGAATATGCTG